GTATTCTTACATTATCCTCATCTTAACACTATACTGAACCTCACCATTTTGTCATTCCTCTTTTCTTTCTTCTCCTACTTTATATTTCTTCTGACTGCATTCTCTTATCTTCATCCTTCACCTCACTACTTTTCTCCTTGATGTACTGTACTGAGCTGTGGCAACTCGGACGGTTACTCAGTAATGCTTGGTTCTATGTTGATATTGATTGGTTGATTGATCTACGAAAGATAAGGCATCACCGCTAGACAATTTGATATGCATATATAAATTCATCTACTCCTTTGGAGCTAGGTACATAAACAGTGAGAAGAGGTTGCTTATCGGACATTGACAGCAACACTTCCCATTATAGCTCACTGTATGCCTATGCTAATCAATCAGCAGCTTCATATTACATCACTAGGTTGTTCCATTACTTAGAAACACCAAATTATTCGATATTTATTACTATGTAATGATACATTTGTAATTCTCCGTTGTTTTATTGGATCGAATTGTTCGACCTCTGTCGGCATATGGCCTGCTATGCGGATGCCTCTATATTGCCTGAATGTTATTTATGATGACTTGGTAGGTTGTGGCTAGCAAAAGAATCCAGGACAAGCGTTTCATCCTATTTGGGACTCGTCAGATGGATGTACCTGCTCCCCAGCGTGGAGTGATGTTGTTCCCATCGCTTCAAACTCTAAGGCATTAACCACTATGCCAACGGAGGAACGATAGCCACTTCTTGTACAATGGCTAGTAGTTACTACTAATTAGGACGAAACGAGCATTCTGGATTTCACTACTAGTCACAACCAACCAAATTGATACGGTAATTGATTAATTAGATAAAGCCAACTCAACAGTAGTGTTATACAAATCTGATTGCTTTCAGAAAGTCAGTAGAAACAGAGAGAATGAATCATATGAGGAAATTATGAAGCCAATGAACATCATTTTGAAACCACAGTGGATCTAATACGTCGTGTGAAACTGTTTCTAGGTGAGTCAAAATAGTTTAATTTAATGAGGAAAACCAACAATCCCAGTAGGATTTATGGTACTATTAGAATTCATAAGTGAGGTTATCCTATTACACCCAGAATTAAGAATTTAGAAATCCTCCCAATTATGACTTATCTAAATGTTTAACTGAGGTACTAGGTCTATTTAGAAATCGTTCTAAATGTAGACTGACTAACTCTTAGAACTTCAAGCCCACATTATTAATATTATTATTATTTTTCCCTTGGGTTCCTAGTGGAACATAGGGATTCAGTAGCACGTCTCCATTCCACTCTCTTCTCTGCAGTCTTTTCAACCTCGCTCTACCACTGCCCACAAACTTTCATTTCTTCCTCACACCATCTCCTCCATGTCACCCTCGCCTCGGACACCCAACTCGTCGTCTCCCCTCTGGATTCCACTTGAAGGCCTGGGCTGGTGCGTGATGTCCCCAGTCGGCCTTCTCAGTGTATGCCCTATCCATCTCCACTTTCATCTTCTGCATATTTGTTGGGTGATAGGTTCTTGCCTCATTGGTTCGTTTCCAGAGTTCTTTGTCGCTTATTCTTATCACTCTGCTTCTCTGATCTGATCTTCAGTATCGAGTGAAAGTAGGCGGCAGCTGTCGATGAATGTCTGTAGTTTGTTGTAAGTGTTTTTCGTGACGCACCAAGTTTCTGAACCGTATAGCAGCATTGACACTTTGCGCTGACTGCAGTCGATCTCCACACTGATTTCAGATTAGTGAAAGCCCGTCTTGCTGTCTTTCCTATCCTGGCTTTGACATCCTCACCTGTGCCGCCGTCGACTGTAGTTAAAACGATGCTGCCATAGTAGGTGAAAGAGACAACTTCCTTTAGGTTTCTCCCATGAATGGTGATCGGTGCTTGTTGTTCATGCTGTAGTTCCTTGCGTATCTTCATCAACTCTGTCTTCTCGGCACCGCCCTGCACCTTCCGCCAACATGTTAGTTTTCGCCTGTAGATCTTCGAGTTTGTGTGACATTAGACATAAGTCTTCATCGTTGGCGAAATCCAAATCTTCTAGGGTCTTTTCCGTGGTCCAGCGTATGCCCATCTTCTCGTTCCTCACTGTTTGCTGCATGATCCAGTCTACCAAAATCAGGAAGATGGTCGGTGATAGTAGGTGGCAGCCTTATCTTACTCCTTCCTGTCTTCACTTCAGAGGCGTTACTGAGCTTTCCATTGTGAATCATTTGGCATGTGGCGTCTTCGTATACAAGCCTAAATTAGACGACATATGTTTATATGATCAGTTTGGAATAAAATGCACAAAAAACAGGAGCTGTCATCCCATCACCAATACCCCCCATTGTTACAGGCATATTTATAGATAGTTGGAAATGGATGACTGTCGAAACATTTAGTCCTGCTTCAAAAGTATGGTTTCGATATGTAAATGACACATTTACAGTGTTGAAATCAGACCACATAGACAGTTTCTTTACACATATGAATTCAGTAGGCAATACACCTTACTCATCAACAATTACCTCCCCCCGCCCCCTCAAAATTAATTGGTAAGTCCCTTAGTAATCGTAAGAAAACTATGACTAATATTAGTAACACTGGTGTTAATCGTAGTAAAACTAATGTTAATAATAGTAGTGACAATGCTGTGACGACGGGATTCAAAACTTTTACAGTAATACCATACAAGAGGGTACTTCAGAGACATAACTTGGGATTCTCAATAAGGCTGGCTGGGATTAGAGTGGCATTTAAACCCATAAATTCACTTAGAAACAAGCTTTTTCGGTTAGTTTACCAAATCCCTAGCAACGACTGCAAGGTCAAAGTAGTCGACAGGATCAATTAGGCTAGCTTACCACAACAACCTGGCTAGGTTAAAATTGGCTGATCCTAGTAAAGTAAGGGATTTAGAGGAAAGCTCAGCCATAGCTATGCACGCGACTACATACAACCATACAATAGGATAGGACGAGGTGAAAATCCTTAAAACTAACATAGCAGGGTGGAAGAAGAGATTGATAACTGAATCGAATTAACAAGTAATAGATGCAACGAGAATGACTCAGGACCTGTTCAGAGCAATATGGAAAATCTTACTACCCATAACACAAAAAGGGGCGAGGAAATTAGGATTCTATGAAAGATATCTCAAAGTTGTGTAGTTATCTTGACATGACTATGGACAATAAATTATATCCACTGTGTGATACATCTAACAAAGAATGGAATCATAGTGTTCCTTGTGTCCCTTCTGGTTTTTTTATATTTACCCCTTGAATTTTCTTTTCAGTAGTATATCTCTTTGGAAAGAAATTGAAAATACAGCCAACAACCACGAACACCCTTTTGGGATAGGTAATGAGCTTGATTCTACCTGGCTGGTCAAACTTCAATAGATGGAACCATGTTTGAACTCATAGCCCAAAAGGTTGCAAGTCATATGACTTAACCAATTAACTACACTTTCAAGAATTTCTTATAGTTTCTCTAATGTTTAGAAGTTTATTGTTTCTTTGTAATTGTATAATGTTTAAAACAATTAGTTCCCTTGATAAACTTCGACAAAACAATAAGAAGACGTAAATTGTCTGAACCGTGTAATGTATTTGCGCAACACATTTCGAACTATCTGATCACACACGTACTTGTCATAGATATTTATATAAAAACTCATGAAGATAAGGGGTGAGAAAATAAAAAGGGGTCAGGTAGGAAGGCTGACTTAAAGGCCGAATAACAATGAAAATCAATAGAGCAAAAAAATAATAGCACATCGAACTTGGTTTTTCAATAGTTGAATTTACCAAGGAAGGTTTAATGTGACAACAAATTGTTTATGAATACATAAAGGTGGTTTAAACTTCCTAATAGCTAAGGCTTCAACAAATTTCAGGATCCCTCCCCAACATGTTTTGTAGATAGGTGTAAAGGAAGTAACCACATCAATCTTGTGACCTGTCTCAACGATATGTTTAGCGATCGAAGAGCTTGGACGTTTGCTACCAACATTTATAGGTTCAGGTGATTTGATTTGCTTCTGAAGCCACTTTGGAATATGTTCCGAGGCCCTTACTTGCATGGATCTATTAGTCCTCCCTATGTATGTGTCACCACACGTACATTTGAATTGGTAGATACAATGGGATGTGACATTATCGTTCACATGCTGTGGGGGTTTGGGGGAATATAAGGGCTTCGTGGTTTCGATTACTCGAACCCTGGCTGCATAGTAAGTCCTTCTAACAGCAGCGTTAAGTCTCTGCTTAAGGATTGCACTCTGAGAGTCACCTTTGTACGGAAGGCTGATGAAGACATCCTTCTTTGGGACTGACTGCAGTTCTAGTTTTGACGCTCTGCTGATTTTGTTCTGCCTGATAAATGTTGATGGATAGTTATTTTCCAACAAAATATCGGTCAGTGTTCTTCTTTCATCTTCTAAAGTATCCTCGGTGCATATTCGTTGAATTCTGCTGAATAAGCACCTTACTAACGTTCGCTTGTACTGAACTGGGCAAAAGCTATGGTAATTCAGATATTGCCCTATCCATGTAGGTTTTCTGTAAATAGATCGTTTTATGGATCCATCCTTAATATATCTAGGAACGGCAAGCAGTCATCTTCCTCTCTTACACATGTCAAAGATATGCTGTTCTGTACTTCGTTCAGTCGGTTTAGAATTGAAGTAGCCTGATTTGAGTTTTCACAAATAATCAGGATATCGTCAACATATCTTCGATGTTTAGAAGTTTATTGTTTCTTTGTAATTGTATAATGCCTATTTCTAAGGTGAGTTTAAGATTTTACATTAATACTGTTTCTTTTGTCAAATTGGTGTATTAAACTGAGTTAAACTATTGAGAATATATTTCAAAAGGTAAAAATGGTTTCGTCTTGTCTAATCTTGGAATAAATCAAGCCAAAAGAATGGATTAATCATACAATTCAATTTGGTAAGAAAACTTTTAGTTAACTCAGAAGTACTACATCCTGTATGCATTACTTAAAGATACTTACTTGCTGCTATCATTTATCTGTCGTCCAGATTTATATATCCCATCTGATTTCTTATTTCGAAATCGAATATTAATACCATACTGATTTGATATTGTTTTCATACCCCATATTCTTGAAGGTCTAGGTTGAATAAAACGTATACTTGGACCAAATTGAATTCTGTTTACATTTTAAAGATGAATAAAATAAATAAATAAATGAAAAAAGTGAACAAGAGATTGAAGAATAATTTTGATACTATGCAACTAATATGACTAAAGATTCAAACTCATTCTATAACATCAAAATAAACAAGCTGTCTAATTTGATTACATAATCGATAAACTAACCTCGCCTGGTTAGCTAGTTTACTAGTTACTACCGGTCCTAAGCCCGGGTAAAGAGGGAAGGTTGGGCATAGGGCTAGCAACCCTACCCCGGAAAACAAATCTAACCGCTAAAGAAACTTCAAAGCACAAACAAAATATAAAAAATGAAAACAAACTTATTCCCGCTGGAATCGGAGAGGCGAAATGACGCCAGTTGGTGAAAGCCTTCGGGAAGCCAATTGGCCGATGTGTCTTCTCTCCCTCGATGAAAGCGAAAGTAAACGTGGGGACATGGAATGTCCGTACGATGTTTGAACCCAGCAAGGCAGCCCAGATTGCAAATGAGATGAGAAGGTATCACATCGAAGTGCTTGGAATTTGCAAAAGCAGATGGAATGGGAGTGGACTCTCCAAACTGTCAACTGGAGAATCAATAATCTACTCCGATACTGTCACCCAGACGACAACCACGAGCACACTGAGGGAGTGGCTATCATGATGTCCTCAAGAGCATCGAAGGCTCTCATGCAGTGGGAACCAATCTCCTCATGCAGGATCATGACAGCGAGGTTCAACTCAAAAGGAAGGAAGGTCACAATCATACAATGTTATGCACCTACAAATAATGCAGAGCAAGAGAAAAAGGAGGATTTCTACAGACAACTTCAATCAACACTGGACAAGACCTCAGTTGGCGATATCAAAATTCTAATGGGTGACATGAATGCCAAACTGGGAGCAGACAACACAGGAAGAGAACTAACCATGGGTCGAGAAGCGCTCGGTGAGGTGATGAACGAGAATGGAGAATTGTTTGCAGAATTCTGCGCATTCAACGATTTGGTGATTGGAGGCAGTGTGTTCAGGCACAAAGATATCCACAAAGCGAGTGACATGGATTTCACCAGATGGACACACTAAAAATCAAATCGACTTTATCTCAACCTCAAGAAAATGGAGACGCAGTCAGTCTATTTGACACAAGGTCAAGAAGAGGAGAAGATGTAGGTTCAGACCACTTACTGTTTAGTGCAAGAAACCTTCCAAATCAAGTTAAAAGCCTGAAGCCCTATGTTCCACTAGGAACCCAAGGGACTAATAATAAAATAATAATAATCGATAAACTAATGTACTTTGAGATTGATCACCATGACCTGTAGGATCAATCAGTCAAAACTGAAGTATGTGTCAACTGAAGATCTTTATGATTAGTTGCGCTAAATAGGAGACTGTAGATCATTGAATTTTGACTCAGTAACTGAATGATTGACAAGTTCTCCACGAGATCAAAGATCAACTCTCGACGGGGAAAGGTTGTAGTTGCGTATTGCTGAAGAGGAAATAACTGTCCGTCTATTCCAGGTTTTGAAGTCATGAATACTACCTTAAACAATTTTTTCACCTTCAATAAAAACAGATTTACGTGGTTCAATAAAATGAAAGTTTATGATTGAAGGTGAAATGGAAATTTTGACCACAGCCGGATTCGAACCGGTGACTACCTAGTATAAATGCTGCAAGTCTGCTAAACCATGACTGTCTCAAATAGCCAGAATGATAATCAATATGATGCTTACCCTATCTAATTCACTTAGATTTCGATTCGGATAAGAAGTTCTGACTAAGCGACCAGTGTGACTACGATCAACTGATGGTAAGGCATCACGAATTCACCCTCCTAATTGAAGTGAAATAAAAATGTAGTCAACAGTCAGGTCTGGTAGCTTAGTTGGTGCAGTATGGGGTAGGAAAGCCAGTAGTTGCTGGTTGGAATCCAACTGCGGTTCAAATTTTCATTCCACCTTCAATTATTATCCAGTATAAATACTAATTCGCTATCTTAGATAAACAACATGAAAATGAAAGTTAATGGTGGATCGTGGCTAGCAATGGAATCCAGGATGCGTAAATAGGACGAAATGCGTATCCTCGATCCCACTGCTAGCCACGATCCATCATTAATATTATTAGAACACAGACAATATCGAGGCATCCGCATAGCATCCCATATGTCAATATACACCGATCAATTCGCTCCAACCAACGACGGTATCATATAAAAACAATTATACTAAAACTATACCCATCGCACAAGAAATGAGGCTATCGTGGGTCAGTGATGTAATGGATATTGCTCTGACGTTTGAAGCGATCACTCCTGAGTCTGAATCCCGGTGGGAACTACATCATTCACTGGAAGCTGGCAGGTACATCCAGCTGACGAGTCCCAAATAGGACGAAACGCACATCCTGGATTCCACTGCTAACCACTCTCCATCATTAATATTATTAGAAGACAGGCAATATTCAGGCTTCCGTACAGGAGCCCATATACCAATAGACACCGATCAATTCTGTCCAATCAACTAAAAATGAAAGTTGTTTAAAATATTTCTGATTCACTCCAAGCAAATATATCTTGTTTAATTAAACTTTTTGAGGGCGTTGTGGAGATTTGGAAATATTTCAAGTTGTTATTCATCGTAGACTGACATCAGTTGGAGGAACAAAGGAAACCTAGGAGCACTGGACAGCTGTTTCGTCCTAGTATGGGACTCCTCAGCAGTGCGCACTCACGACCCCACCAGAAGGGATCGAACCCGCGACCTTTAGGTTCCGCGACCAGCGCGTTACCATTGAGCTAGCCACTGGGTCAGAATCCAATGCTCCATATTTCCAACTTCTCTTAGCTCACGATATAGCGCAAACCGCCACCCAATGTCATCGTTGAGTATTTGTCCTCACGGCCATCAGGCTTTGACTCCACCGGTCACGACTTGTCATTGGAACTTCGGGAATACTTCTCGAAGCTAGTCAGTTGGAGGAACAAAGGAAACCTGGGAGCACTGGACAACTGTTTCGTCTTAGTATGGGACTCCTCAGCAGTGCGCACCCACGACCGCGGGTTCGATCCCTGCTGGTGGGGTCGTGGGTGCGCACTGCTGAGGAGTCCCATACTAGTCGGACGAAACAGCTGTCCAGTGCTCCCAGGTTTCCTTTGTTCCTCCAACTGATGTCAGTCTACGATGAATAACAAATTGAAATATCTTGTTTAAGTTTAGAATTCACTGTTATCTCGTTGTTTACTTCTTTCATAAAAGCCTTTTATTTCAACAATCAACTATACTTGACACATTAAATTATTCCAAAGAGTCTAGATTGGTGAGTAAAATTCAATCTGTCACGCAAATCATGAGTCATACTATTTACAGCAACAATTTACATATGAACTGGTCTCATAAACTTTCAACTTATCCTGACTGTTTGATGTCACACTAATCAAAGCATATCAGTTAGTTTATAAGAGTGTTAGTTATGAATTTTTATAAGTACATTTGTTGTTAGTTTCCGTTTGTTTTTTGTTGTTGTTGTTGTTGATGATGATGATGATGTTTGACATATTTCGTGCAAGAAAAGCTAAGATGTTAATGAAGATCATACTCACTACATTGTTTGCCTACTCATGGATGAATTATTAGTAAAGAAGGGAGGCGAGGGGGGGGATTATCATTCCAGACAATCACCATATCCGATATAGACTAAATCCTTTAAAACCCTTATACTAAAAACTATACCCATCGCACAAGAAGTGGCTATCGTGGCTCAGTGGTGCGCTGGCGTTCGGAGCGGTCGCTACCGAGTTCGAATCCCGGTGGGAACAACACTAGGAAGCAGGTATATCCCACTGATGAGTCCTAAACAGGACGAAATGTGCAATCTTGATTCCACTGCCAGCCACTACTCCTCACTGTTATCAAATTTCAAAATACTTACGATTTCGAGGCATCCATAGACGAGGCATTAGTCGCCAATTGATTCGATCGGATCAACAGCGCAGATTTAAAAGCTCTGTACCCATCGTAGAAGGAGTATTTATCATGACTTTAGTGATGTAGTAGACCACCCTGTGGAATTTGAAGTTAATAGCCCTGGGTTCAAGTATTAGTGGGAACGAAATCACTAACTGGAAGGCAGATACATCCAACTAAAGAGTCGCAGACAGGACGAAACTTGCTTTCTCGATACTACTGATAGCCACGATCCATAAATGCTGTTAAATAGTTTCAACTCAATTCTCTTTCCAGAAATCTTCTCGTATCAAACATTTTTTTCTCTGCACTAACAAGGTAATAGAGTTCAATCCATTTGTTAATTTACTCTAAAGGCATGTAAATAAAATTCCCATTGAATTATTCAATTATAGCCTATGGGATTTGATGAATTGCACTGGTTATACAACTGCTATATAAGCACGCAACTATTCAACTACTCAATTAGAATTGAGTAGTGCATACTCCCAACTTCAGTTTACATTAAGTTCGTTGACCAGAGTTATTATTATTATTATTATTTATCCCTTGGGTTCCTAGTGGAACATAGGGATTCAGTAGCACACCTCCATTCCCTCTCTTTTCTCCTTAGCCTTTTCAACCTGGCTCCACGACAGCCCACAAGCTCTCATTTCCCCCTCACACCATCTCCTACATGTCACCCTCACCTCAGACGCCCAACTCATCGTTTCCCATTTGAATTCCACTCGAGTGACTAGCCCGGCATGTGACGTCCCTGAATGATCTTCTCAGTACACGTCCAATCCATTTCCACTTCCTTCTCCTGCATAGTTGTTGGGTGATAGGTTCCTGTCTCGTTGGTTCGTTGCCAGTCAGTCAGCTAGCTACAGTTCCTTGTTACTTATTCTCATTATTATGGCAATCTCAGCTTCAGTGAACAGCCAGAGTAGGTGGCAGTTGTTGATCAATATCTGTAGTTTGTTGGAAATCTCTTTCGTAACACGCCAAGTCTCTCAACCATCACATAGGAGCACTGACTATATAGCATTATTGTTCATGA